CTAGTTGGGTAATGAAATGTCTGCAAGAAAATAACCAAGCTCAGAGAGCACCAAGGATCCCTCCATTATTCTTATTTCTGAGTCAATTATCTAAAAAATTTCCTGCTACTGACCACTGATCTAATCAGTCTCTAGTCTGTAAATGACTAATATTTGACATGGTAATTCAGGATTTTTTTTTAAAAAAATATCAAGTCTGATGTCAAGTCATGTAAAGATATGCTGTCATTCAGTTATATAATGTGATACATTCTAGCGAAAATTGTCACACACAATTTTTCTGGAACCTGAACTATTTTATCATGTAATTAATACAAGAAATAAAAGAACTGTAGAGTTAAAGTTCTTTATTTAGTGCTAAATGCAAATATAGTCAGCCCCAAACACAACAGAACCATAGTTATGCACAATTCCATTTGTTTTACCTTTTTGAATGGCTTTTGCACTTCTTGGTGGTCAGTCAGAATTTCGGAATTCCAGAGAACATCTTCCATTACAAACTGTATCCCAATCAGCTCTCCATGAGCTACTTTTTGATCCTCCATGCTCAGACCACATAGACATAACTAGAAAAGGTGAGATGAATTCAGAACTTGATTGGATTTTGATGAAAGTAAATCAATCGTTGATTTATTTAAGAAATCATACCAGGACAAGAAATACAATTATATGGTACCGAATGTGTTTAATTCAGATATGGCAATATAATAGATTTGTTCTAGATGCAATAAATGTGTTTTAATTTCTGTAGTCATCTACACAATGTTGGAAACATAAAGAAATCTAAGATTACTAAGGAATAAAAGCCTCATACCTGCATACTAGAATTGACGGGATTTAGGTTGCTTATGGTATCAGGAAATAGACCTCCTTTTGCTAGGAATGTCCTCCAGGGAAACAGCATTAATGCCTAAAGAAAGTGATAATTGCAGAGCTCTAATATTAAGCCCCAGGCACATGTATATTACTTCTAGTATCCTTAAGTCCAGTTTAATTGACAGAAGTGTGCACTGATCAGTGAACTGTGCTAGGCAAAAGAAGAACTAAAATTCCAGGAAAAATTTATGTAGATGCTTCATCCATTTATCATCATAGTAAAAAATCCCTACGTGGGCATAATTTGTCACATTTGCTCTTCATCTTCAGCCACGAACATTTTAGAAGTCTCCTTGCATTGTCTTTTTCTCATCGTGTGAGTGCTATCAGTAATATTCAAGAGAATAATATTTTTTTTACCCTGAGCAACTGAGATTCAGCTAGCTGGAAATGCACTGGAAAGTTATTAAATTCACATCCCGTGCTCCATGAATGGAAAGAGACACCCATTCCCAAACTGACAGAAAATCCTCAAGCTTCCACGACTCAAAGTGTCAATCTCCTTGCTGTGGCAAAAGGCCAAGTTCTGCTCTTCCGTGCAAGATGGAGCAAGAAGGTACCTATGGAATGTCACAAAAGTCTGCTTGCTAGACTCTGGGGCATGGACTGTGGTGGGCAAGGAAAAGGTCCACAGGTTCAACCATTCAGAGTTACCTTGTGGTAAGATGGGCGATCAATAAAATAAATAAATACATAAAGACTAGAGGAAAATTGATATGAACATGGGAAAGAGACTCTGCATAAAGTCTCTTACATTGTCAAGAGCAGCTCTTGGCTTAGAAACTAAATGAGTTAAAGACTTATGTACAGAGCCAGTGTGATGTAGTGGTTAAGGCAGTAGGCTACAAATGGGGAGAGTTTTAATCCCATCTTAGGCACAAAGCCAGCTGGCTTTCTCTCCCAGCCCTAGGAAGTAAGCAATGGAAAAACCATTTCTGGAATAGAGTATTTTGTAGCTAGGGTTTAACCTCGGAGATCTTAGTGCTCTCTGAGCTTGGTTGTTTTCTTGCACAGGTTTCATTACCCAATTAGGTAATGTAGTTAGGTAACTCAATGTTACTTAGTTGAGTAAGGAAACATCTGCAAGAGAACAATCAAGCTTAGAGAGCACCAGGAACACCAAAACTACTTCTGAAATCTTCCAAGAAAACTGCAGGGACTCGGCCAGGTAGTCACCAGAAGCCAACACTGACTTGAAGACACACAGACACACACAAAGAGAATCAGAAAAGCCATATGTGTGAGTTGAAGTTTTACCACCACCCACATTACAATGTTGAAGACCACAATTTTTTATTACAGGAAAATGCTGAAACATGAGCTCCCCAGAAGTACAGAGCTATCATGGAAAGAAACCTATTGACTGCCACGAGGGCAGTCAAATGTTTTGGCTCAAAAACTCCTCTCCACAGATTTGTGTAGTCCTCTGCTAAAGTTACGAATTTTATCATTACTGGTAAAACCAGAAATTATTAATTACAATATCTTTTAGACTGTGAAAAAGTAGATCAGAAAAATACGCTAGCCCTCTGCAGTAGACATTTGTTTGAACTTTTTCCTTTTAACACACACACTATCTATTTGTACCTTCTATATGTATACTTTTGCTACAGATGGGAAGCAAAGCACTTCAGCTGTTTTTAATTGTTAAATGCTGAACAGAATTATTTGGAGAACAGATGAGAGATAAATGTTTCTGAAAGATGTCTCAAAAGTTAGAGCAAATATATCTTGAAAATGCCATTTTACTCACTCTCTGCCCATGTGGATCTAATAGTTGTGGAATTTGGAGTTGAGAAGCAAATGCACTTCCAAAAACTGCATTACTCATGGGAGGCAATGCGTGGTAAATGTTGTCTGTAATACTCTGATATGCAGAAACATTTCCAGATGATAAAAATGCTTCCCTGAAGGGTTGTTGGAAAAAATAGAACAATACTTATTGTGAGTTACCCAGAATTGCTTAAAATGGGCGGCCATATAATTTTTTTAAATAAATAAATACTGAAACGACAAATCCAATTTCCAATTTATTCTGCTTAAACATTGCACAATGCATTTTATTTAAGTTACTTTGACAACATCTGCCTGACAAGTGATCTAGCACTTCCCATTGTTTTATCCCTGAACCCCTACCAGGATGCTTAAGATAGTCAAAAAGCCCTTTCTCATTAAAAATGTACTGCTTCCTGTTGTTCCCATGGAGAAAGAATGTTATTTTGGCTGGTAATATAATTATGCTCTTGGACCTCAATGAAACCAATTTGGAATTCTTATTAAGTCTCAAGTGATGATGCTCCCACAACTTCTGAGGGCAAGCTGTTCCATTGGTTGATTGTTCTCACTGTCAGAAAGTTTCTCCTTATTTCCAGGTTAAATCGCTCCTTGTTCAGTTTCCATCCATTATTCCTTGTCTGGCCTACAGGTGCTTTAGAAAATAGCTTGACCCCCTCCTCCCTGTGGTAGCCCCTCAAATATTGGAAGACCGCTATCATGTCTGCCCGGTCCTTCTCTTCACTAGACTAGCCAAGCCCAGTTCCTGTAACCATTCTTCATATGTTTTAGTCTCCAGTCTCCTAATCATCCTGGTTGCTCTTCTCTGGACTTTTTCTAGAGTCTCAACATCTTTTTTATAGTGTGGAGACCAAAACTAACATGGTTGTCATGGGACAACCATGACCTGAATGTCTGAGAACAGACATTCTGTTTTGCTTGTCCAGGATAGCTGAAAAAGATGCGTTCTTTCTGGACATATTTGCATCAGAATTGTCTCCTTTCCCAGTTGCTTTGCAGGAGAAAAAAATATGGAGTGCTACTAAGCTCCCCAATCTTCTGCCCAGGGTGCCAGTGCTTACTTGGAGACACACACACACACCCGTGACACCCTTCAGGTCCTCTATCATTTTATATGTTTTTTAAAAGGGTTTAATTAAAAAAAAATGTGAATCAGATTTTTTGCAAAGCTGAACCATCAGCCTTCAGCATTCTTTCCTGTTATGCCCTGCAACCCGAAGAAGCCCCATGAATTTTAGTAAAGTAAATCAATGTATGAAAGTTTGGGCATTGCAATTGAGTATTTATTTGGAAAGAGGCCTGCCTGCTACAAAAAAAAAGAGAAGAAGAACAAAAAGGAACTGGGCAGTTGAGATCTTGCAGGAAGACTGAGAGAGCCAATAGAATCTTATAGCTGGTTAGGCTACTTCTTGACAGCCATTTTGTGAGTGGGCAACTTTCTCTCCCAGCAATCCTTTTGAAAGTGTGCCCCCAACTTTCTCACACTTTCCAATCTCCCACCATATTTGCTCCCTAGTAAGCAGAGAAATAATGGGCTATAGATAGTTTTGAGTAGAAAAAATACCCAGAGATAAAGAGTGAACTGCTCGTTATTAAAAGTAATCAGGAAAAAGCTGCAAACATCTTAAAGAAAATACCTCTGATGTGCTTCTTTTTCATATCTTACCTCATTGAATATCTCACAGCTGCTTCAAATTGAAGAAACTTTACTTCTTTGAGCATGGTCAGCATGTGAGACACTTTCTTTGGATCTGAGGGATTTGGAAGGCTGTCTATTTTTTTCTGTATTTCAAGAAGTTCAATTCCTAGAATCCAAAGAAGAGCATGTGTTGGTACATTTGGTCTTTTTTTTTAATATCACATCAAATATTTTTATCGAGTTTTTACACTGCGGTTCTCTATGAAAAACAATAAAGTTGCTAGTTTGACTTATTCTGATTAGTGTGCTTTTCTTCTATCGATTTGGTTCAGGGATTCAAACGTTCTCATCTAATGAGACTTTCAGACAAATTTATTAATCGTCAGGCAAAATCTTGACAGCTCACTTGAAATAACTGTCCCATCCAAAATGGGATATACAGTCTATGCTTCCTCCACTCTTTAGTGCCACTACTCTGGAAAACATGGCTTTGCATTTGAAATCATTAGTGGATTGAAACCTATTCTGCAACTATTAGTACATTGAAAAGTGTAGCTTCATTTCTGCAACATTTGGGGCAGATCATTCTTCTAATAAAGAAAATTATTCCTTCTTGCCCCATCTCCCAGGTCTTCATTTAGTCTACCATTAAGGAACAGCTGCTGTCAAGCTGTGGCAAAGTAGATCAACCCCTTTTCCAGCATTCACAACAATAAACAATACTTTATCCCCAACCAGAACAAATCATATCCCAATATTGAACAATGGGTACTAACCAATCTGCTCGGTCCCTCCCCAGTCTGCTGTGAGATGTTCAGAAGGACACCTGTAATCCAAGCAGCCTGGTGCACTTCCTAGCTGAGCAAAACTGAAAATGTATGCAACAATGTCGTGAAAGGATGCCACAATTTGCAATGTGTGCCGCAGGGCACTACAGCCAACCTGTGAGAAGTGGGGTTAAAGGGACAGACTTTCAGAAAGAAGCATGGATTATCAAGCAATTGGCAATCACAAAATGAAAGTAGCAGCCAGCTCCACCTGGTCTGACCTCTTTTATATTGATCATCCAGGAGTCCTTCCATTAGGCATCAGCAGAGGGAGAGCAGGGAGCACAGTTGCTGTAATGGCTCAGCTGGGTGATTTGCGGGTTTTGAACTGCCTAGCTGATGTGTTATGAGGGCAAACAATATTCCACTTGAATTAAGTCCCTTTTTATATCTGACCATTATAAAGACCTTATAACTTTTAGAAGTTACACCTATCTTTTCTTTTTGTTCTATGTCTGTTGGTTGGGATGGCAAGCCTGTCGTGCTTGTATTAAATATGTAATCCATTTAGTTGTCTATCCAATTCAAGAACTGGCTGAGAAAGGCTTTAAAGAAACTGACTGAGTGGATCAGAGTGACATCAATTCAATCATTCAGAAACTACTGTAATTGCTACCTTTCACAAATCTTCTCCAAACAGGTTCACTAAGTGTCTCGCTAACTTTCTATATTTAGTGCCAACAGGCAGTCTGCTTGAGTTGCCTACTGGTAGATGTCAACCTTGTCAGATCCACAGCCAGATGAGCTAATTCTACTTTACAGTAAGCTCACATTAACAGAATCTTGCAGTCTGAAATGACAGCTTTCCCCACATCTCTTTTAAGCCCAAGAAACTAGGGAGCTTCTCTTCTGAGCCGCATGTCCTGCCCACATTCCTACTGCAAGCTAAGCTGCTTTTATCTGATCATTCCCTTGTCTGCCTCTCTTCTCCCTGTATCCCAAGGGAAATACCATTACAGTAGTTACCAAACAGTAGGCCCGATAAATTTTTTTCTGGGTGAATTAAAATTTAGCGGATGAACTTTGTATTTTACTTAGAAACAGTAACACATCCAATATTTAGGAGTTAACCAAGGTTATTTAAGGTTTCTACTCTAGTTCTTCATTTTTTTCATCTTTTTTTGTAGCTGAATTCCTACACCGTGCTAAATCACGTGTGGGCAACCTATGGCTGCAGATACAAATGAGGTCCCCGAACCTCCTTTTTTGTGGTCCCAAAGCCGCCTTCTGACCATGATTGCCATGTTATTTCATAATTCATGAGGAGCTAAACTTGAAAATACAAAAAATACAATAATTGTGAGGTAAGCTCTTAGTCCCATACATTTAAAAAAAAAACAAAGTAAACCTTCAAAACTGTTTCCTCAACCACTGTCCTTCCACATCAGCAATATCTTTTTCCTCCCTCAGTTTCTCTCAAAATATTAGGCATGGTCTTTGGCCTCCAAAAATTAACTACCTCTGCACTAAATCATAATACAGTTCAGCAGGATTTATGAACCCTTAAAATTGTAGCATTTTAATGATTATCCCAGTCCATAAGAAATCAGCCAATTGTGGCTTTTTAAACAAATCATAGTTTTAAACAGTTATGGATTAGCATATTGGGTTAACCAAATATCTTGAGAAACTGGGAGGATCTTCACTGTATCACAGTTATTTATTATGTATGGTAAGAATCAGTGCAATTTAGCTTCTGTACAATTTGAGTATCACTGCTAGATCTCTATCCAGGAGAAAGGCTTGCTTAACGTGTGTTCCTTCTAACCCAGATATCACTCAACAAAGAAGAATAGAATGGAATGGAATGGAATAGAATTTTATTGTCACATTAAATGTACACGAATCAGCAGCTGATAAAATATTTGCACCTGCTATCCGCCAAAGGATAGGCCAAACTTTCCCAAAATGGAGCATCCATTAGGTTGGACTAAGTCCATAATTCTGAGTCAGTATAGTTATCTTTGCTTTCATAGTATCTCTGATTGTATATGAGAGATGATGAGAGAAAATCTTGCAAAGTATCAAATATCTTGGGTCACATCTCAGTCACGTTTAAAATCATGATTCCCAATAAAATATACTTTCCTGTGCTGTTCATATTTGCCCTCTACTAGTTGATCAATCTCAGATCTAGGCCATTTGGCCAATAAAGAACTTTTTGCAAGATTGTCAAAGTACTGACCTTCTCTGGTAGCATTTTGAATGCAGCTAGGGTTTCTGAAGGGTGAGGGATGAACCACAGGTTCAAGAAGAATTGTCCATCACTAGACAGCAAGCAACGAGGTCGTGGCTGGAATGACCTGATTGTTAACAGAATAATTGAATTACTTATACAAATAAATTAAATGGTACACAGCAGCACCCAAGAACCACTAATTGATATTGGTTTAACCCCACTGTTTCCTCACAATGCTAATTCCATTCTTTCTGGCACTTCAATCAAGTTGTTAGGGAACTCTGCAAACAAGTTACAAACCTGGGATCACTGTTAACTTTTTCTTTGGATTCTTTTTCATCTTTTTTCTCTTGTGGCAATCCTATGGCAAAGTATTTGTTCTTGACCTTGGGAAAGTCATCCAACATTGCTTTTATACTGTTATAATAGGCAATGATCTGACTTCGAAGAGAGTACTGAGACATACGATGAGTCAACCTAAATGGGATCCAAATCTTAATATCAGAAGAATCATCTAGCTAATTTTTTTTTTTAAAAAAAAAACAGAGCCTTGATATTCAAACTACCAACTTCAAAAAGAAGAAGTCTCAAAAATGATCAATGCTGCTGTGAGATCATAATGCAAAGGAGTTTTATCTTTTCAGCCTTAGCAATGGGTAACGGTGGAAGAATGCAGACATTCATTAATATTTCTTATTGTTTCATTGTGATGGTATCAAGTAATTACATGACTTCCACATTGGAAAATAAAACATTTCATTGTAAATGTTTAACTCAACATCCCAACCTGTGACATGCTTTCCCCCCAGTTTTTAAACATTCAAATCACAATACTTATAATATCAGATGGGGCACAATGCAGATCTAAATTACATGCCCACCTCCAGATATCCTGAACTACACTTCCTCAAATCCCTGAATACTAGTCATGTTGTTTGAGTTATAATCTGAACTCTGTGGAACCCTTCTGTTTGTTTATCTCTGATTCAGCGACATGATATATGATATCAGTCGCAATGGCTACGTCCTGCTGAGACTCTTTATAACAAAATCAGCACTGTAACAATCCAGACTTCATAGCTTGAATATCAAGGCAGTTTCTTCTGCCTTATATATAACACTAAGGTTGATGAATGATTTATTTATATAAATGATGTATATATCCAGTTCGTATAATACACATTGAAAGGTTCTATAAAGGATTAATAGGGTTTTTTTTGTTTTCTTTCCTGCTTTAACTAATAATAGAATATTATGTATCAGATGTTTCACTTTAGCATTATATTTACTCTCTAGTTCCTTTATAGGCTCTGCTGAATAAAAGTCAACATTGCACCATTTCCTACCGTAACACAGACTGTGGGAAAAACAAACATCCTACGTATGACTCTTAAGGAGAGATACTGCAAACATTTCTTATACTTGCCTGTGGCAATATTCAGCAATAACTTCTCTTTTGACTTTTGCAGCTTCATCCTAGGAGAAATTATGCCACTTGTTTGTTACCTAACTTGTACACAGTTGTAATAATTGTATTGAAATGTAAATATAATACCTTGGATTCAAAAGCTAAAATATAGGAGTGGAAAGGCACCCTTGTTTGAACAACTTTTTTTTAAGGTTAAATAATTTTAAAATATTTTTACCACAGGTTCATTTTATAAAATAACACAATAGAGGCGCTGAATTCTGATTCTTTGCTCAGTCCATTCCAGTTTTTTTATATTGTCTTGGAGCCTTGAAAACATATTTTAAACTAAGGAAAGCAGGGAATTGTAGTGGAAAGATTCAGGAATCCTTGTAACACTTCTCTGATTCCAATCCCAACCTGATACATTCAGAATTATTTCAGTGTGTTGGCAATTTACCTAATCTAATGCCCCAACTTCTGGGAATATAACAATAAATATACAAATACATTGCATATAAGTATATAGATTTTAAACTATAAATAGGATTTGACCCTCTTCCCTGTTCTCGGAAACATTTTTGGATAATAGTTCCCTCAAATAGCAAAAGAAAATCTGAAAGGTTACCATATCTAAAGAACAATCACTTGGCATTTTTATGGTAACAATTAAAGAAACAATCATTATTAAGTTTTTTTTTCTCAAGTAGTCATAAGACTTTACTCCTCTATTATTTCTTTCATACATACACATTCTTGTTCTTATTTGTTCTGATTACAAGACTGACTTAATTTTTTAAATATTTATTTATTGATCCTGTTTACATGGCCACCAATCTTATGGAACATGGCTAAAGATACCTAAAATATATTTATTATTTTACAATACAGGTAGTCCTCCACTTACAACAATTTTCTTTATGAACTGAAATTACAATGGCAGTGAAAAAAGTGAATTGTGATTACACTTAGGACTGCAGCAACATTCCCCATGGTCATCTGATCAAAATTCAGGTAATTGGGGACCAGCATGTATTTACAATGGTTGCAGCTTCCCAGGGTTGTATGATCATCATTTGTTACTTTCCCAGCCAGTTTCTGATAAGCAAAGTCAATGGGGGAAGCCAGATTCATTCAACCATGTGATTCTCTTAACAATTACAGTGATTTGCTTAGTAACCATGGCAAAAATGGTCATAAAATTAGACAATTCATTTAAGTGTCTTGCTTGACAATAGAAATTCTGGCCCCAGTTGTGGTTTTAAGTTGAGGACTATCTGTAGGGACACAAAAAATATCCCAAAGCTTAAAGCTATTAGAGTAAAGTTGATGAATAATTCTTTAAAAATTATAAGCAAACATTGGTTAATTCCTACATAATTTCAGATACACTTACTGGATTTTGTACTCTACTTTCCAAGATTTGTTTCTTCTGAATGAATGTATTCAGCATCAGGTCACGTGGACCTTGTTTCTCCAGCTGAATTGAAACAAAAGCTTCGGTAGGTCTGGAGAATGAAGGAAAATGACATTACTAAGAAATACTAATGCAAAATGTATTCATGAGTAACATTTTATTCTTTGACTGTGCCCAGGCACTAAACTTTTTTTACACATAATGCTGTTGCTTTTCGGTGGGGGGGGGGGGTGTCTGGCTTTTATGAAGAATCCAAAACCATAACCATGTATTATATTAACAGGATGAATTAAAGTATTAAAAAGATGTTTAGACAAATATGTCAAAGTCTTGGAAAAGTTTCCCATTTTCTGTGACATCAGGCTTGCTATCTATCTATCTGTCTATCTATTTATTTATTTATATTCCATCTTTATTATTTTTATAAATCACTCAAAATGGCGAATATATGTTGTTTTCTGAACCTGTAATGCTGGCCTAACAGTCCTGCATTGGGAATCTTTCCCAACTATGTTGCTAAACCAGGAGCTGGAATTTCTCCACTGACTGCCCTTTAAGGCACAAAGCAGTAACACACAGATGTATTTGAAGCAGCACTTGTCTTAAGACGCCAATGGTACAGAGTAAATTACAAATCAAAATCAGTGGCAGAGCTATTACTATATTCCTTCCCTTTTGGAAGATCCCCTCAAAAAGGATCAGAGGAGGGATAAGTTACTTGGAAGAGCTCTTTGGGAGCAATGGCCTTTTGGGAGTAAGCTATTCTACAGCCATCACATGAAATAGATTACGCTGGTAGAGAATTATGGTTCCGAAGTCATCCAATAGTTTTCTGTGGCTGGTTGGAGGTGGACCTGTTCTCCCCAGTCTTCATTCAGCACATTTGCCCCAAAACCATGAGGGGTGTGTGTGTATGTCTTTAATCTACCTCTTTGAATTGCAACCTCCAGCTGTAAATCGCCTAATGTAATGAGACACAAAGGCATCCTCTGCTTCACTCCCAACTGTAGAACTTCTTCCATTTGGTGAACTGCTGCTCTGACCTTTCCCACTCAGATGTCCTTCCTGAAAGAGAAGAGCAATGGGGTCTCTTACTCAAGGAAGTCATGCTGACACCATCAGGAAAGTTGTTGCTGTGGAAGACAACCACCACTGGGGGCATTATGGGAAATTTAAATGGAAGATAGTCTCTGTGGCTCAGATTGTTGTGCTGAATATTTTTATAAAGGGGAGAGAAAGGTCAGTGTAAACCGAGGCCCTTGTAAGTGTCCTGGAACTCAGCACATGCTCTTGGATGTTTGATGCCATCATACGGGCCCTGTTGAAGAACATTTTGACTCTGCAGTTTCAAGTTCTTGTAATTTGGCTTCTTCTGATATTCCCAAAAGAAAAACAAATACCAAAAATTTAAAAAAAAAGAACAAGGAAGCATTAAATAGCCAGAAGTCAGTATAGGTGTGAATAACGTTACTGAATGAAGTGCACATATTAAACACACTTTGCTTTTTACTCAGAAAATAGCTGTCTAGGAAGAAAACTAATGAGATTTTTTGGTACGTGTGTATTTGTTAATCTTCTCCTGTTTCTGAAAAAACCCAGACACAATTGGAAACAACAATTGCTTAGAATCTAATTTTAACAGAGCATTTAAGAGAAATATTATAATCTCCTGAGGCAAATTGTTAGCACATGCTAAATGAAAAGTCTGCACTGATTTCCATTTTATTCTTTTTTATATTATGCATTTTTCAGGAGGGCTGAAGGGATTAAGAAAATTGGTGGGGCTTCTATAATACCTTAATCTTGCATAATATGACACACTGTTAAATAAATAAATGCTGTTACTTCCTTATAGACTATCAATGGCCATTGTTCATAATGACAGCATATTATTTCTAACACTGTATGCCTCTATAAAAGAATCACCTATCCTATGATGCTTATTGTATGTCTGCTTACTTTAGTGCATTGCCCTGGTCGCGCAGTGGTTAGAATACAGCGGCTAGAATGCAGTACTACAGGCTACTTCTGCTGACTGCTGGCTACCAGCAGTTTGGCAGTTCGAATCTCACAGGCTCAAGGCTAACTCAGCCTTCCATCCTTCCGAGGTAGGTAAAATGAGTTTTGTGGGCAATATGCTGACTCTGTAAACTGCTTAGAGAGGGCTGTAAAGCACTGTGAAGTGGTATATAAAGCTAAGTGCTATTGCTATTGTTATTGCAGGCTAACACAGCCAGGAATTTGATCCTAATGAGCTCAAGGTCAATTCAGCTTTCCACCCTTTCCAGGTCAGTAAAATGAAGACCCAGTTTGTTGGGGGCAATAGGCTGACATTTGTAAATCACTCAGAAGGTGCTGTAAAATATAATGGAGCTGTATATATAAGTTTAAGACCTAAGTCCTATTGCATGACTGAAGGAAATGTCTAGTTTCAGGAACAAGATTTCCTGAATCTTAGAAGGTTAACAACAAGGTTAACAACAATCACATGAAGCAGATGCAACCCAATGAGCTCTGCCACCGCCTTCTTTACGGAGAAATTAAATCTATTGACAAAAACTCCATCATTGGAATAGGGCCTTTCTCAATCAGAGTATCATTCAGATATGTGACCTTCAAATACCAGGGGTTTCAGCAATAGTGATGCTGGGTGGAGAACCCTTGGAGTTGACGTCGGCATATCTGGAATGTACCCCAAATGAAAAAGGCTAGCATAGAAAAGTACCCATAATCTCGCTTTTTTATCTGAAACAGAAATGGCCACCAGACTAACTATGTGTCTAACATTTTCCCAGCAGAATAAGGTCAAACAGCATGGAAGGAAGATAGCAAAGAAAGACTTACTCGTTCCTTGTAACTTTTCTTTGCTTCTGATTCTTATGTTATTGTTTTTTTAAAGGGCAGTGGTGAAATTTGGACTCTGAAAGGGAGGGAGAGGGGGAAAAGTTGCTAACCTTTAAGTCTCCAGTTAGTGTGGGTTGCACTGAAGGACAAAATGCAGCCTGTTGAACAGCTACAAGGAGCATGTTTTTATGTGTGACTTGGCAAGCAAGAGCAATCTGCAAGTTTTCCAGTCCATACGGGTTCAGTAACAGCTGAAAGGTAATGATACAAAGATTTGTGGTCATTGTAATGTAACATTGCACATCTACTTCCTTTAGGTCTGATAATGAGGCTATAAACTTGTTTCACCTGTACAGGGAATCCTCAAGTTACAAAAGTTCATTTAGTGACTATTCAAAGTTACAACGACACTGAAAAAAGTGAAATGACTGATGTTCACACTTATGACCATTGCAGCATTCCCATGAAGGAATCAAAATTCAGGTGCTTGGCAGTTCACTCCTATTTATGACAGTTGCAGTGTCCCAGGGTCATGTGAACATCTTTTGTGGCCATTGGACAAGCAAAAGCAATATAAGGGAAGCCAGGTTCACTTAACAAACCTGTTAATAACTTAACAACTGCAGTGATTTACTTAACAACTCTGGCAAGAAAGATTGTAAAATTGGGCAAAATTCATTTAACAAAGGTCTTGCTTAGCAACATAAATTTTGGGCTCAAATGCAATCATAAGGCCAGGACTATCTGTATTTACATTCAAGAAGCAGGACTGATTGTTGCATGGAGTTTGGAAGCAATAATATCTAATTCAGAAGGTCTCTTAGACAGCCTTCACTCCAGATAACTATATGTGCGTGTGACATTCTTAAGTTGTGTATGTAACAATACCTAAGATTTTTGTCATTATTTTTCTCCCAAGCAAACACATATTGTGCATTGACAGACTTTCCAGTCTATCATGTCATTTCCAGGTAGTCTTTTGTTCAGTTATCACCATGTCTGACGCTGCATAGCATTTTCAACATTAGCCAAAATTAACTACATGCTGCCACCTTCTGTGACAATAGTTTAGCACAAGAAAAAGTTTAATCAAATGCCATAGACAAGTATTAATGTTGATCAGAAGATCTCCAGTGAACATACAGAAGCAACAGTCATTTCAGCAATGATATGTGATTGATTAAGATCAATTTTTCCACCCGAGACCTCTGCTATACCTGACTCCACTCACATAAATTATTTAACACTGAATTTTCCTTGGAACACAAATATCCTTTTTTCTGTTTTGGACAGAACGTATTAGGGTTGGGATTAACTGAAGTTAATTCCCCCCCCACCCCCCCAAGGCTTCAGAATGACCAAATTGTTGCATAATGTGACTTTCGGAATAGTTTAGAATTGCATTTCTTGTTTCAATATTTGTTCAAAGTCTAGATGCTAAGAGGTCTAAATCTTCAAATTGCAGTTACAATTTTTTATTTATTTATGAAATCTGTATGACTGTGGTCAGAAGTACAGTAACAAATACTGCTGAGTTAGTACAAAATGAAATGAAACAAACAGGAAAAGGGCAGGAAGAATAAAATAAATTAATATAATAGCATTGAGACTGGAACAAAAATATTTCAGTTACCTGCAGAATGCTCTCCCTGGTGCCAAAGCTAAATTTTCCAATTTGTTTGTCTATATCTTGGATCTCTAACATTAAGTTAGAAGGAATATATCTGAAAAAACAACAACAACCATTGTCTACATTTTTCAGAAATGAAGTGCCAACCCACATTTAGAAATTACATGAAATTACATTTAGAAATTACATGAAATCACAAGTGATTTCAGCTTTCCTTGTTTATGCAGAATATATATATTTGAACAGTGTTTTTGAAGAATGTTTAACATTAATCATACTTATAAATATTCCCAATATTTTAGTCATAGTTTTCAAAAGAACAAGTGTGTTTCTTCCATTCTGAGATGTGTATATCTCTTTATATCAAAAGGAGGGGGAAGAGTAAGATGACAATTATACTACAGAAAGAAGGGCAGAAATAAAAATTCTGTTTCCTTTTATTCCCCGTTTTCTTCTTTCTAATTTTTAACTTTTTCTTACTTTCATTTTTCTTTTTATACTTTTATTGTATTGTAACATTCTAACAAAACATTTTTTAAAAGCAGTAGCTATGCTACATCACATGTTAAGCGTATCTTCGTAATGGAAGCAAATATTATTAAGTTGGTTGGTTGTTTATATCTGTTGAAATTTGAAAACCTTTATAAGCCTCTGACTTACCTGTCCACGTTAAGGTCATGATCTTCTAGAAGTGAAGTGATGAATATTGGCGAGAACTGGTCAGCTTTCTCTTTGTGAGTTGCACATTCAAAGTGCACAGGCCGTAAGTACAAATGGAACTCATTAAAGCCCATTTCTTCTGCAACTTCTTTGTACAGTCTAAGCAGAAAAAGAATGTACATAATTGAAATAACTGCTTATAGTGGTCACTCTGCTCACACAAAACACACACATTCATTGCCTGTCATATATTTGTTTGAGTTTCATACCCAGAAAAAATAAACATAGTTGTATATTTCAATCCATAATTTCACTTTGTCCACCACTCAGATCATTTTTGCTGACACCTCCCACAAATGGGCACTAAAAAACTACGTGCAATTTTGATTAGTGTGATTCCTGCATCAGGAATTCTGGCTTATTTCTTTTGGATTCTTTGCATGCTAGATTGGCATGGAATAAGCCACAGTTCTAGACAACATGCTGCTTGTTCACTATTAAGCCAAGTTCTAGTTTGGGTTGTTAAGAAAAGATAAGTAGAAGGTTTTGGTGTATTATATTTGTAATATTTTCTAACTAATAATCATGCCAAAGCAAAAACAGCCAGTATAATTTGATTTGTCAAACACATTTAAACAGTATTGATCAAAAGCATTCGACTGCAATTATCAACTATCTACGTTACAGTTCAGGCTGAGATATCTGGGGCTTCCCTTAAAAATAACGGCTTTTCAGTTGAGTATACTGATAGGGACAATATAGATCATGGGGTCAGAAGTTGTACTGGGTCAGGATGGACGAAGAGGAATAGTGATTTCAATTAAGAAGATAGTAGTCAATAAGATGGTGTAAACTGTAATTTGGGAGAATTGAAGAAAGTGGGGGAACTACATCAGCAAGAAGATAAATATTACATTGAATAAGGATTTTGCCATTATACTTTTAAAGACTAACATAAGGCTTAGATTAAATCAAAAAATTATCACTGAAATTTCAGTACAACTTTCTATATTGATTTCCTCTGTGTCCCCTTGCTAACCTGCCCAGCTGTGCTCCTTCTATTGCTGCCTCAATCAACCGATGACGGAGGGTTAGAACTTCAAGGAATCTTGAAAACACATTCAGAGTAATAGTTTGTTTTTCTTTGCTCGGTCTCTGTTCTTCTTCTGATACCGATTTCAAGGCTAATGTAACAATTTCTCTCATAATAAGAGGATCCTCAACCAGAACATCGGCAAATATCTACCATGAAAGATTAGTATTTATCAATGTTTAATTCAAATAACGTCAATTGATTGTTGCACTGATGTTACGATTGACACTTTATTGTTCAAGACATTATTTTGTACCATGGAAATATTTAATTGAAAGATAGAAGAAGATGGAACAAGATCCTTCCGATGACTGGACAACAGGTAAGTATGACTGTGGGAGGAGATGCTCTTTTTTACTTTTAAGCATAAACAACAAATAGTTTATCTGAAAGCACAAATAGTACCCCGTGCCCAGCTCACATAGAGAAATGGCTTTACTGCAATGTATCAGTGAAATTCAAGATTTGTATCAAGAGACCAGTCCTTTCTTATTAGTAATTTGCTTACATAGAATCTGTAACAGGTCTACAAAATTTTTTGAATTTTCTCTATTAACCCAATCCTATATGTCTACTTAATGGGATTAGGACATTTTAGCAGCAAAAACCCCACCCAAGTCCCTGTAAGTAGAACACAAACATACATCTCTCTGAATTTGAGTGCTATAAAAAGTTTCTGGATTTTCCATGGTCATCCATCCATCCAACGAAAGTTGAAGTATTTGTTCCTCCAAATTAATGGCCTCACTGGCTGTGTTTGGCCTACAGATTTGCTGGAACTCTTGAAGGATGCGGTCTAGAGCTTTAGGAATTAAAGATACTAGGCCAAGGGAGGAATGGAATTCCAATAAATACATGTTCTTTAGAGCTGTACTTTAAAGGAAAAAATTATTATTATTTGAACTAATTATCTGAACTAATAAAAACTACCACACCCAAAAAACCTAATAAAAACATAACCATAAATGACAAGTAATGTAAAATGATGACTATTCATTCCCCAAAGGAATGAAAAGATTCAGTGGTGAAGAATTAGAAAACAAGCATTCTCTTAATTGAATGTATGATTCAATTTATGTTTTTATTTATCCATATATAAACTTAGCTACAGTCCTTTAACTCAGTGCAATATACATACACACACACACACACACATATACAGAATGATGAAATGATGGTTTAACATAATTATTTTAAAAAATACATTTATATATTTACTTATATCGTAAATACACAGTTGAAAAGATGACTTTCTTAAGTCTATCCTTATGAGAAAGCAGAGGATAGAACTAAGTAAATAAAGAGTAATACATTATTACAAAATGGAAGGGAGGAATAGACATTGTCAATTTCAGCAGATAACACAACTAAAAAGTCACAGATTCTCTGTTTTGCTTGCAGTTCTGGCTTTTAAGGTTTAGGGAACTTCTATGTTGAAAGACTCTTATAAGTTTGAGTCCAAGTACAGTGACATGATCCTGACTTTTTAAAATAATACATTACAATTTTTTAAACAAATATTTTAGGGGATAATGAAATCATAATTGTTTGCATGTCTATTATTAATTTAGAAATGACCCGGTAAATATATGCATGCTAAACACAGAATTAATGTCTTATTATTACTACTATGTCGGAGAAATGACCATTTGTAGGTGGAAAAACAGCATAAAGAAAGCTATTTTGTCATATGGCTTGGCTGGGTGATTTGTTTAAATAAGAATTGCTTGAACCCTGGGGAATAAACAATGGAGTTTGCTTGTGTGACTTTCTTATTAAACAACAATAGCAAACATGAGCTCCATTATAGACCTATGTGCCATATTAAAGAGACAAATGATACTCACGGGCTGTTACTGAGAGCAATTAACTGTTTTGTAACTATATGTGGGGGGAAGCCAAATTCAGAGATACAACCTTTAGGACCTCCACGCCAAATTTTATAATTATATTTACGCTGATTCTCTATCTGGGGGAAAAGATCAAAATAAAAAAAATATTGTTACATAAAATATAGCAAATTCTGATTTTAAACCCCCCCCCCCCAATCTTATCATGACTTCAGTGGTAGAGGAAGCCTGATATAAGCAATTAAAGTAACATGTAAACTGAATTTGCTCGATTCACCAGCTTCCACCTGTCTCCTCATCTTATCACCATTTTCAATGCTTTGTAAACAGGTGCTAACTTCTGTATTTGAATACAGGCAGTCAGCATGCCTCAGCACATCACTAGTTTAAATACTAAAAATTGAATGGCATGCATGTAATGAAAAAGATACAGAATTAGATCCAAAGTTATCCTGGCTACTCTACTGCAAAGTTCTACTGCATAGAGTGTCAACTTACCTGTCGGTTCATAATATCTCTCACCAAGCAGAGGTGAAGCTTTAGACAAGTGCATTCATCTCTATAAGTGTTCACAAAATACCCAAGGTGGAAATCAAATCGAGGACGTCTGTACATGATGTTAGTTATTACTTGGGCCAATGCAAATCTTTCTTCTGAATCTAAAGCATGTTGGTATACTTCAAAGTAACTATCGAGAAGCTGAAAAATATATTTCAAGCATAGCCAAAACAATAAGCAAGACATGTTTATCTTTCCTTCGTTTTGTTTTAGTTTGTTTTTGCTTTCATCTGCTAATAAAGTAAATCTTTCAGTTGGAAATAAATGCTTCTGTGTGTGCCACATGTACATTTCTCAATGAGATTCTCTACTCCACCTATTATTTCAAAAATCAAAATAAATATGTTCAGAACAATAGGTAGCTCAGTTAAACCAGAGGTATTGGCGGAGTGCAGATGCACGTGTCTCGGTGGGCATGGCAGGGGAAGGATACTGTAAAATCTCCATTCCCACCCCACTCCAGGGGGAAGGTTACCACCAGTTCTCCAAACTACTCAAAATTTCCGCTGCCGGTTCTCCAGAACTGGCCAGAACCTGCTGAATACCACCTCTGTCTTGATTTCTTAGAGGATTAATGAAACGTGAATATGTATACCTGCCACTTATTTTTTAAGAAATCTGCTTCCCAAGTCCAAAGGTCAAGCAACACTGCCGATCGATCCACTGATGTTTGTGCCAGCCTCGAGTAGCTGTTGCTAGAGGAATCCGAGCCTGCTTTCTGGCCTCAGAAAGAAAAGGATAACACAAAAGACTTCAACCCAGCAATAACAAATTCAAGCAGTCACAAACACTTGCAGTTAATGATAACATACACAGCGAATTTCCTCCCGTTATCAAGATTTTCTTGCTTCACAGAATTGAACTGAATGTTATCAATATAGGTACACTTACTATAATCACAGCTGCATTACAAAATAAACAGTAACCCCAAATAACCAGTAAGGTTAAACTTTCAAGCAATCGGTACCTCTGGAGCAACTTCTCCAACAATTACTTCAAAACAACTACCTTTGGTTCTATTATTAGTTTACTAAGTAATTCCTGTTTTGGGGGGGGGTGGCTGCTTTTTGTGAAAGTTTCTATCCCTCAACCATTGGTAATCGGGGTGGGATTGTACCGGTTCGGACCAGTTCTATAGAACCGGTTGTTACAATTCTGCACAGTTCGGAGAACCGGCAATTTGCACCACTGGCCTGAGAGCAAAGCTGAACCTTCCTTAGGACTGAAGCTTCTATTTTTCAGTGCAGACTCAGGCAGCAGATTGCAGAAAGGTAGATCTGCAAGTCACTCTGTGATTCTGCAAGCAACTCAATCTTTGAGTTGCTTTGCCTCATTTTGGGTAAAAGTTGTTCTTTTTTAATAAAAAAATTCAATATTTACATAAACATTTACAATATTTACATACAAACCATGCCCAGCCAGTCACGTGATCACCAAGCCACACCCACAAATTAGGGCCCACCCACCGAACCGGTTGTTAAGAAATTTGAATCACACCCGTTGGTAATATCAGATATTTCAGGGCCAAGTTTGTATAAAGGCCTTACCTTTTTCTACCTCAATGTACTGGCTTGCCACAAGCAAAAGTTGCTTCTCTGTCTCTTTCAGGTCTTGGAGGGCCACATCATACATTACAAAAGCCCCTCTCTGATCCTGCGTATGAATGTATGCCTCTTCAACAGTGTAAAAATCATCATGGTTCTCCACCTCAGCAAACTCCATGAACTGCACACTGTGGACCTGTGGAGCCATAGATGTTGAAAATAAAACATTACAGTTGACCACCAAATCCATTAACAGCTGTGCACTTCAGAGGTTTTTACCCATTTCTTTCCCACTGGGACCTCCTCTGATCCATAATCCATCACTTTTTACATTTAAGGAATCTCTTATTCCTTATCCATTCACCCAAGTTGTAGCTAGAAGAGACAAACTGATATCTATTCACACAAGCACATATTGAAATACTTTAAAGCTCTGATTAGGTTTTTTTCCTCTGTTTTTCTAGCAAGAGCTGAAGTTCCCCTCAGATAGGATGTGGTTTGTTTGAACTGAGCTTAATGCAATGTATGCTAATTTAGTTTGTAAACCAAGATTTATGGCTTAGCACCATGTATGAACAAAACCACTAAGTCTTGTTCAACAAACCATGATTATGGATTATTGGGATGTGTGAACTTAGTTTTAGCATACAGTCCTTGTCTTATGACCATTTGTTTAATGGCCATTCAAAGTAACAACAACATGTCTTATGACCACTTCTCACACTTTCAACTGTTGCAGTATGATTACTATTTACAACAATCACAGGGGGTTTCCAACAAGGAATATTGAAGAGGGGAAGCAGGATTCACTTAGCGACCATGTGATTCATTTAATTATCCCAGTGATTCGCTTAACAACCACAGCAAAAAGGGACATAAAATCACCTGCCACTTAAGGACTGCATCACTTAGCAACAGATGTTCCAGTCTCAATTGTGGTTGTAAATCAAGAACTACCTGTATCTGATACTTGGCTGATCAGAATACTTAGGGTTACAGAATTAAGCCCATTAGTAAACCTTCCTCAAATAACCTTGCATGACTAATATTCTGTGCAGGTCAGAGAACTGGAAGGTGGGGGTTTTTTTCCCTTCCTTCATGCACTGGTTTATTGCTTCTATTTTTGAACTTGCATTCTGACAGATAAGAAGTTTAAGCTTTGGGTCAAAAATAAAACACCCAGTGAAACCCTACATAATTTAGGTGGTCTTGGACTTTAGGTTTAGACTTTATTACTTTGTCTAAACATTGCTGTAACTAGAACTCAGTCCATTTCCTCTTGCAAATGTACTGGGAATTTCCCTAAAAACAATATACTGAGCCTAATGTTTTATTTTTAAAGATCTATGACTATCAAAATATTCTCTAATACCAGGTTCCCAAACCCACTACCAGACCTTGAGCCATTTGGAACCGGGCTGCAGAAATGGTGGGCAAGTGCATGCACCCATCACGCCTTGCATGAGTAGCACCCATGCGTGCGCCTGCGGGCATACTCCCATTTGTGCCAGCAGCAGGCACGCATGATTGATGCTCATGCAAATGGACCTGCGCATGCACACACCCACTGCTCACATAGAACTATCCCCTCTCCCCTTCCCCTCCATTGGTCCATAAAGCCAGAAAGGTTAGGGAACTCTATTCTAATGTGACCAAAGCCTCACCTTATAGTCAGCTGGAGTGTAATGCATGTAAGAGTGTGAGCCGAGACCTCCAAAGGCGCCAGTGCCTCCTTTGGCTGCATTCACCCAGCTGGCATCTTCTGCAGTGGAGATCAAATGTCCGCTGCGCGAGGCAAGACCTGAGGTGCTGATGGTCAGAGTTCTTTCAATGGATCGGAAATAGTTGAGGATTCCCAAACAAATTATCTGGTATCAATGTCATTGGGATTAAACAATGATGAGTATGATGATAACAATACCAACTGGCAAAAATACACCACCTCAGGCTTTTATATGGCCCTGTTTCTGTTTTTGTATTACCTGTAATTCTCTGATTCTCAAGTGGCGTAAATAAAGGACAGACAAGTATCCACCTTTTCTTGTGGAAAGGTCTTTGCTGGGAGCTTCCAGGTCTTCATCTAAACCTAGCAACTCTGAGGCAGTCAATTCGCTATTTTTTTTCCAAGAAAGAGAAATTAAATCATATTACTGTAGCTCAGATAGATTTTCTGTTATACCTAAATTTAATAATCTCTTTATATTTCCTTCCTAGAAGTAAATTTCCTACCGAATTCACTTATATAGATGCCTCTGTATTAGAACAAGAATTAGAATGGATGGATTCTGATGCAATCAGATTAAGATAAGGAGAACTTATGAAAAACCATATAAATGCCATTATCCTTTACGCTTGGGGAAAGTTTGCTATATCTGACAATGCCAGCCAGAGTTAAGGAGTACAAGTCAAGAAACACCACCTTCAGCTTTTATATTTACAGCATATGATATGAAATGGTTTTTTTAAATAAAGTTTTATTATAAATTTTCTTCATTTTGTATTAAGCTTCAATTTTATAACCATGCTATACTGTTTGTATCAACATTATACATTATGCATTCTATTATACCCTTTATATATATTATCCTCAATTTATGACCCCAATTGAATTAGGGATTTTGGTCATAAATCATTGCAATTTTAAATTGGATCACCACATGATCGGATTCAATTTTATGACTGTTTTTACAAATATTTTTCAATGGGTCACCATGGTCAGTAAATGAATCATATGGTTGTAAGTTCAAATCCTGCTTATCCAATAGTTTTTTGAATTTTTGCCGGAAAATGGCCAAAAAGTTACAAGATGTGACCATTGGATCCTGCAACTAGTCATAAATGCAGATTGGTTGTCATAAATCTGATCACATGACTGGTGTGTGTGTGTGTGTGTGTGTGTGTGTGTGAGAGAGAGAGAGAGAGAGAGAGAGAATGTGGTAGACATACCTTTGATGGGTTGTACATTAATTTTTTGAGTCCATCATAACTTAGAATAGTAATTAAGCAAACAGTCGTAAATCAAGGACTATCTCTGTCCCATTACTTCCTGCATCATATCTTTAATCATACATTTCTCTTCCTGCCTGACAATTACTTGGACCCTTAATACTGCTGAAGAACTAATTGTGGACTTGGATGAACAAAGAAATTCAAGAATGAATGAGTTAGTGAGAAAATAGAATAGTATATGCTAGTATACTTTGATCTTTCCTATAGTACAGTGGTGGCTAACCTTTTTGGGCTCCCATGCCAAAAATTGTGTGTGCGCTTGCACGCTCACGCTCGTGTGCCAGCACCCAGAAGGCAATGCGCGCGCCCCTCCATTTCCCCTACACATGCGCGTACAATCCACCCACCCACCCACCCTCCTACCCCCACTGCCTCCTTACCTGCACTGCACCTCACAGCTGATTTTTAGCCGGTTTGAGGCCTTTTTTGGCCTCCCAAAGACTTGAGGAAGGCTTCTGCAAGTTTTGTAGGCCGAAAACTAGACCCGTTTCGTCACTTCCTGTTTTTCTGAAAATACTAGAAGTGATGAAATGGGCCTAGTTTTTGGCCTACAAAGCTTGCAGAAGCCTTCCTCAAGCCTTTGGGAGGCCGAAAAAGGCCTCAAACTGGCCAAAAATCAGCTGTGAAGCAGGCACATGCACAGTGAGGTAAGTTTGCCTGCAGCTCGCGTGCTGGCACAAATGGCTCTCGTGCCACCTGTGGCACGCATGCCATAGGTTCGCCATCACGGCTATAGTACGTTATAATTTGATCTTTCCTTTGGGAGATCAAAGGAGAAGAGAACAAAGTGGACAAATCTACCTAAATTCCGTACTCATACATCTATCATGGGATAATTGGGGAAGAAAAGTAGGTAGAAGTTTAGCTTGAAGCATCCCCCAAGGGAAGAACTGGAACCCCATTAGCACTGGCACTGATGATGTTACCTAGTTTGGTAACAAAATGTCTGTAAGAAAACCACCAAGCTCAGAGAGCAACAAAGACCCCCCAATTCTGTCCTGAGCTACAAATATTCTCTTATATTAGTGTCCCATTATTATGTACAGTATGGAGGATGGTGAGGGACTTCACTGCCTGCACAGCATTCCTTTATAGGAGCAAGGCAGATGGGTCAGAAAATTGTACCAGGAACATGTGAAGGAGATCTATTTATTGATGCCTGTCTTTAGATTATCAGCTTTTGAATACTGGGCCAGATGTTAAATGAAAGAAAGATGAATCAGACAGATTGTTGGATAGCCCAGGTGGTATCAGCCTTGCATTTTCTCAAAATCAAGTAGTAGCTTCAGAGAGCAATTGTGCAATGATAAAGTAAACCTGCAGCTATTTTAAATTGAAGCATAAAAGTGCTATGTTCATGCCCCAATGCACTTCCATCCACTTTTCTCACATTGTTTTAGAACTCTTGCAAAGCTCTATTATTTATTCATTAACAAAATGTCTAAGGGGAAAGGGAAAATCACAAAACTTCCAGTTTACTAAGTGATGCATTACATACATATTAATCACTCTCTCTTGCTATATATACAGTATTATGTATTAAAAAGCTGTCTTTGTGTATGTGTGCACGTGTGTGTACAATCTCAACACAAACACAATAAGTAATAGTTTTTACCTTCCATGTTTCCTCTTTCCTGAAAAAGCAGAACCCCCTTTAAAGTTGACATTTTCCATGCTTTTTTCATCAATTGCCATAATAAGATTGTTATTTGTGTCATTTGTTTGCTGTCCCTGTTGATTACATGTGACGGTCAAATGGATACACGCACCTTTATTTTTCAGTGTTATATAAATATGAAATTATGAACACGTGGACCTGTAAATCCTTTTCCTCAATCTTTTGTTTACATAACATATGACTTAGGAAAACGAAAACAGCCAAAAGGCAAATCAAATATCTCTATTATGGTTTTTGAGCAGCCTTTACAATAAAAAGGGAAAAAGGGAAATAGTTTAATACATCCATTTAATACATCCATTGAGGACCCAAATTGTTGGGGGGGAATATGCTGACTCTGTAAACCAATTAGAGAGGGCTGTAAAGCACTGTGAAGCGGTATATAAGTCTAAGCAGTGGTGGTATGCTACCCTTTCAGACCGGTTCAGCTGAACCGGTAGTAAAAAAAGCCTCCGACGATTAGCTGAGAGGAGGAAAAAAATCAGCTGAGAGGAGAGAGAAGAGAAAAGCGTAGGATCGACCCTCCCACCCGCCTTTGCGCTTTTCTCTTCTTTATCCTCTCAACTGATTGGCGCTGCAGGTCTCAGCTGGTGTGGGGAAAGCTGCGCACCAAAGCACGCCCACCAAGCCACGTCCACTGAACTGGTGGTAAAACAATTTGAGTCCCACCACTGGGTCTAAGTGCTTTCGCTATTAGTTAATGGGGAAGGGGGAAAATAACAGGACAATAAAGCAGGATATCTCATTAAAAGTTTTGCACAGTTGTGTAATGTGACCCCGGGACATGGCAACCATCATAAATATGTGTCAGTTGTCAAGCATCTGAATTTCAATCACGTGACCATGGGGATGCTACAACGGTCATAAGTGTGAAAAATGGTCATAATTCCTTTTTTCAGTGCCATTGTATTTTTGAACAGTCATTAAATGAACTGGCTACTTGATATGTGAGTGTAGGGTTAGTATCCCTTAAACAATAACAAACATAAAATTGATCTATATGGCCCTTATATTTAGAAATGATTGGGGAGATCAGATGTCATAAGGCATCATAAAACGGACATGGACAAGAGTTTTGATCTCTGTTGATCCACAAGAACAAAGTCTCTGTAAAAAAATCCCATACTCTGGTTTTTCTTCAGATTATACAAATCTTTTGCCAAAATGCATTTGTTTTATTTGCTGCCTAGAAAGAACTGTCAGATACAGTCTCTGTTATTACCTGATAGAATTCTGGATTGCGATACAGCTTTTCCCAGATCTGACTGTAATGTTTTGAATGGAAAGAAGTCATAAAGGCAGATGTCATTGGTGGTGGTTCTAGCATGGCTACCCCTTGCTCCTGGAGAGCCTCCATCACGTACTCCAGATTGGAAGCCTAGTTTGTCACAACCACAAACTTCAATTTAGGAAAACAAACTGTACAATCCAAAGAACAAAGATCTTGAGGCTAGTAGTATCAGTTTGGTTGGTTCCTTTCTAACAGTGACTGTTGTAAAGCATTTTGTTCATGAATTTTCCAGCTCTCCTAGCGGGAAACATGTTTGCAAGTGAAATATTTCTAGTTAGGAACATGGAAAGTATGATATTCATAAAAACTATACTATGGAAACTGCAAATATCTAACATGTACAATATTACATTTACAATATTTATATGTGATTGATTATTATTAGATTATTATATGTAATAATATATTACCATTATACACTATTAACATTCATAATATTTAATATGTAATCACTTCCACATATTTGCTTGGGGCAGAAATGAGGAGGCTTTTCCTGGGCATTGGGAATGATGTGTTAGATATTACTTGGAGAGTATATTGCTGGGACAGAATCTGTGGGAGAATTTCTCTTTTTATTCTTTTTCTACCACCCTCCCCTTTTTTTCTTTTTGCAGCCCCTTCTATTCTACCTCCCCCATTTTCTCCCATCTGAGTAAGTTATCTCAGGTAGGAAAGCTGATATATTTCTTCTCTGATTATGTGCAGAGCCTTTTAGAACTAAATTGAAAGGCACTCACTGTTCACCACATTCATGTATTAATAATACTGCATCCAGTTTTGAGCCGCCTGTCAAAATGAATATTGATAAGATCATTGAACAGAGAGATGGACTACACAGGAAACAGCTCCAACAAAGTAGAATTACCCAGTATCCTGTATGTTTATTGAAATCTGTGATAAACATCAGTCATCAACTATCAAAATTGGTGGGAGTTAGATTGAACTAATAGATTGGTTGTAAGTCAAAACTAAGGTTATAGGAATGTCAAAATAATGTGAAAATCCAGGAGAACTATATTATGGGAAACCTGTTAGAAAATGTGGAAAGGAAGTTCCATGGTTTTGTAGAATAAACAAGACTCCCTTCCCTCCATTAGTGATTTTACATATTGTCTTAACACCCCAAAACTTCTAAAATTGTTTGAAGTGAAATTATCATGTAATATTACTATGCCTATAGCAATGAATTTGAGAATGTCATTAATATTCTAAGATGTTACACGCCCACCTGTAAATCTAAAATAAAAAAGTTTCTGTTTACCTGTAACAATTTTGATTGAATCTGTAACTGTTCATCTACCTTTTTCCACTGTTTTAGTTTTATCAATAGTTTTTGTTGCCATGGATCTTGTTGAGGCTTAATCTGTCAGACGTAGATGTAGATATCCAAAGTAAAATACAGAAAATTGATTTTACTAATCTAGTAGTTGTTGAGGATTAACAATTTTGTATATGTAGAAAAAAATATTGTGCTGGGAGAAGAGAGTATTTGTAGCTCAGTGTTGAACTATAGGGCCCTTAGTGCTTTCTGAACTTGGTGGTTTCCTTGCAGAGGTTTCATTACCAAACTAGATAACATTATCAATGCACTTGGTGCACTGGTGGTTTTCTTGCATAGATTTCATTACCAAACTAGGTAACATTATCAGTGCACCGGTGATGTTAATTTGGTAACGAAACCTCTGCAAGAAAATCACCAAGTGCAAGAGAGCACCAAGGACACACACACCCTCCAGAATACTGTGCAGTCAATGCTGTGGAAGAAAAACGCATCTGCCCAGTCCACAATATAATTCTATCTTCAAAGAGCACCCTAATCACTTATATGTGAAGCATCTTCTAAGTTTAGTATATAGAAGCATAATATATAAAGTGATGCTCTTGCATGGTTTTCCACGCACACAAGACACATAATCTGTCTTCTTAAATATATTTAATTTCAGCTTCACCCGGGATGATTATATAGCAGTTAGCTATTGAGAATTTGAAAATTAAAAAGCTCAGAGAGCTGCTTGCGTAGCTTGAAGTTGAAATTTAGTTTTTACCTTTATAAAAGAGGTCCAATTTGCTCTCTTTTTCAAAGTCATGTTGCAGCTCATCATGCCAAATTTTTCTGATCCAGGGGTTCCAGCATCATAAACAGGAAATGTTCTCATTGTTTGCTGTTTATTGAAAATGCTCCTAAATTTATGTTTGACCTGAGGATGTTGGGGAGATCATGCTGATAAAGCTAGAAAAATAACATTGCTTTACACTGAATTAATGTTCCATCAGTACTAGGACAGAATCCACTTACTCAATACAAAAAAATTATAAAGAAGGAAAAGGTTGAGTTCACTGAAGTCTGGTTTAAACCAAATTTACTTTTACCTAACAGAAGGGAAGGGAAGGGAAGATTGATAGGATTATTATATTCTTTGTTGATGTTAAAATAAATAATAGTTTGGATTGTTGTTTTTTAACTATAAGCTTTCAGGGGGGAAAATCCAAACCTGCATTGTACAAGATACATAATTGTTTACTGATTATATGAAGTTAAGTTACTAAGCTGTAAAAAGATACCTGTCACCTGGCTATGTTAAAGGTGGTAGGTATCTCCTTGCTGTATCTCCCAATATGTTTTATCCCATTGTACAAAATACTTTTAATAGGTTGGATTCAAACTTTCATTTCCTATATAACGTTCTAAAAGACTTTGAATTATATAATTTTGTAGTTTATTTTTAGACAAATCAATTGTCCATTCATGCATATATTGTACATATGCTCTATGCACGCAATGTACACATATGGAAAGAGGAATTATGTTCCAAAAATATTTCAGCCCAGATTAATTCTATTAAGAAAGATGTTCAAATTAGGCGGCATGTCAACAAATTCTGCTGTGTTTAAAAACATGGAATGTCTCAGAAGATAGCAGCCCCTGGCTGATCTTGCCTCATTCAGGATCTAAATGGACTGGGCATGGTTAATACAGTATTTGGAAGAATTAGAATTAGAAAATTCATAAACCAGGAAAGTGAGAAATATTCTAGACAGAAGTTTCTGCAACTGTGGAACAAGCATCACCAAGTTACAATGCAAATTTTGCCCCTTTTTGTTTGCATCACAAGACCACATGCAAGTACATAGGTGGTAGGGCCTGAATCATGAGATTGAAACACATGTTTTGTCATTTTGGCATCATTGTGCCTGGTAGCAAATGGGATTTCAAAAGAAAACAGTGATAAACCACTTTTATATTTTTGCCAAGAAAAACAACATAGAAGCAGGGATGGGATTCTACTGGTTTGGACTGGTTCGAGCGAACCGGATGTTAAAGTTACATCTGGTTTGCCAAACCGGTACTTCAACTGACTGGCTAGTGCCGCCTACCCCTCCCCTCCCAGGAGCTTCCACACAGCCCATTTTTGATGGAGGCAAGTGCAGGGTCAGCAAGGAGGCTCTGGGAGGGGGGAAAATGGGCCTTCCAGAAATCTGAAAACAGGCCTGTTTCTGGCTTCCGGAGGGCCTCCAGAGCCCGGGGAGACTGTTTTCGCTCTCCCAGAGGCCTGCGGAGGCCTCCAGACCCTTGGAAGGGCAAACAACGGCTTTCCCGGAAAAACTAGAAGTTGCAAAACGGGCCTGTTTCCAGCTTCTGGTGGGCCTCCAGAGCCCAGGGGAGGCTGTTTTCACCTTCCCAGAAGCCCAGGGGAGGCCTCTGGACTCTTGGAAGGGCAAAAAATGGCCCTCTTGGAAAAACCAGAAGTTGCAAAATGGGCCTGTTTCCGGCTTCCAGTGGGCCTCCAGAGCCCAGGGGAGGCTGTTTTCTCCCTCCCAGAAGCCCAGGATCCTCGGGAGTGCAAAAACACCCTCCTCTGGGCTCTGGAGGCCCACCGGAAGCCAGAAACAGGAAGTTCCGGTAGGCCACACCCACCCAACAACTGGGCAACGAACCGGTTGCTGGGATTTCTGAATCCCACCCCTGCACAGAAGTATCTATTAACTCACCAAAACTGAGTGCAACCTGTAGGAAATTTTACTTTTTACTTTGTGTCTGTAGAATTGCAAATATAGCTGTCTGATAAGTGCATTAAATAGTTAGATCACAGGTGTTGAACTTGATCGCATCATGTGATGTATCATGATGTATCACTTTTTTTACCTTTGCAGAGCTGGGGTGGGCATGGCCTGGACGTGACGCATCTGGCCTGCAAGCTACCAGTTTGACAGGACTGAGTTGGGTGATGGGATCTAATTTACACTAACTCAGAATTTTTTAAAGTTACATACCAGGCTAAAAACTATAAACATAACTGCATTTCATCAATATACAAGAAATTAAAAAAACAGGATTTTTATTACCATGGAAAAAAGTTCCATCTCATTTGCAGAATGTCTCAGATTCTCTACATCATAATTAATATCCAGTTGAGAAAGCAGAAGTTTGAGCTGTGGTTTCAGTTGGCCAATGTCGGCAGTGTGTTGGGGAAGTGCACTCCTTGCAACGGTTCCTTTGAGAAAGCAAAATTAATGGAAGAATACAAGAAATGTTAGATCCTCCTGACTCTCAAGACAATCACACACCTCCAAACCTCATACTATTTGGCGACCTAAACTTTCATGGCTCATTTTGCATGTTGACACATCTTCTCAAAATTGTTCGTCTTTTCTGTCTAGTGGGATCTTTAAAAAGGCATAGAGTACAGTTAGGTTGCAAGATTTTCAATTTGCTGACATAAAAACCACCCCAGGTGTATAAAATCTTAAAATAAACAACGGCTGTTAGCTTTTATGAGCATTTCTTGTTTGGGCTGGCTGCGTGTTTCTCCCTGTTACATAATGTCCTTTCCATCTTTATTTCCTTGTTAGGGTTTGAACTGTACACTATTAAAGTCAGTTCTAAGTTGAACAAATAAATAAAAATTTATTTATAATAAAAACAAATAAAAAGGCAAATAAAACAAAGTCACAGCATCTCAGAACATGCAAGTTTTAAAATGGCAACGATTGGAGTTCTGGGATCAGCCCTCATCTTGTGTTGAAAAAAACACAGAGATGGGCCAGGCAAGCATTTTGGGGAGGACAGTCCTAAAGTCGGGTGATACCAAAAGGCCTCAGCCCCAGCAGCTGCCCCCCCCCCCCCCCCCCCCCCGCTTGTAGTTTGTGGTGGAGAGAATTCTCTATGCCTGGGCACATACATCAGGGAGAAGGCAGAAGTGTCCCAGACTGAGTATTTCTCAGACAATTTGCTTGCTTGCTAGTTTAAAAGATTTGTAAACTGCTCCTCTCACAATCTGTGACCCCTGATGATGTACACCGATAAAAATCAGAAGAAGAAAAAAAGGAAAATAAATACAGGGAGTCCTTAACTTATGACTACAATTGAGTCCAAAAAAATTCTGTTGCTTAGACATTTGTTAAGTGAGTTTTCCCCCATTTTACGACCTTTCTTGCCACAGTTGTTAAGTGAATCACTGCAGCTGTTAAGTTAGTAAGATGGTTGTTAAGTGACCCTGGCTTCCCCATTAACTCACAAAAGGTGATCGCATGACCTCAGGACATTGCAACCGCCATAAATACATGCCAGTTGCCAAACATCTGAATTTTGATCATGTGGCCATGGGGACGCTGCAACAGCCATAAGTGTGAAAAAAAGCTATAAGTCACTTTTTCCAGTGCTGTTGTAACTTTGAATAGTTATTACATGAATTGTTGTACGTCATACAAGACCAAAATAAGTGAGCAAAAAACATCATTTTCATCTGGGCCCCAAAATGAGAGAGGGTCCTATAGGAGGGGGAAACTGTTTATGGTCAGAACACTAAGTTCTATTTGTAGTTTAGCAGCCCAAACGTGAGCCTAATGCAGTTTCTACTGAGAGACATTTTCAAGGTATGTTTTAAACCCCAAATATAATTATGTTCCCTGCACAGATGTCCTTTGCTTATACATTTATTGATACAAGTATTTTAATTACTGTGCAACAACTTGCTAAAGTTCAATAAGGTTCACCCGGGTACGTAGAACTGTAGGTAATCTCATTTGTTGCTTGATGGCTTGGCATGAATAAAGCCATCCGTTTTCCTACTCTGCACTTCACACAGTCCTTGCTTTTAGTGTTTTACTTAATCATCTTCTCATTTAATCTATCCAATTTAAATCTATGCTGTGCAGCAGATGAAGTTGTAGACTTTATTTAATATCTCCAAAATAAATGGATTGGGATAACTTGTTCCTGAAAGTAAACAACAGAGAAACTAATCATTTAAATTATCCTTCTAGCTCCATAAAAGCCTATTTTCCTTTGAAATTATAGCCAGATATGAACTGAATAGACTACAGAATCATATGGCCAGAATCCTGAAATGACCCTGGATTCAGCCTAAAGGTAGAATGTGCACATATTTGTTCATCTTTGTTAATTCAATCTAAGAAGTAATTGCAATGTTGGTATAATCATACTGGCAGACCTTAATTTACAACCATACAGTAGGCTGCCCATTACAATCATAAGTCTGATTTGTGGTAAGTCAAGGACAACACCCTAAAGTAGCAGTAAACCTAAGAATGGGACTGCGGAGATCTAGGTTCAAAGTTCTCCTCAATAATTTGGGTTGAGTCATTCTCTCTCCTAGCCCAGCCTTATCATCACAGAGGATACTATATCCTGAGAAAATACTAAATATAAATAGTATATATTTATATGTATGTATATAGCATGTGTATGTGCGTGTTATGTATGTGTTTGGGTAGATAAAAATATTTCTCTTGAAAGCAGGCAACAGAATATCTTATCTTCTCATCATCTTATCTCACCTCACCTCACCTCACCTTACCTTAAATCAGTATTTTTCCAATCTTCCTACTCTAATTTTGAGAAACATGGAAAGACTGAAAAACATGTTCTCTCTAGAAAATTCAGGAAGACATCTAGATCTGTTTAGCAACTACACCCCCTACTGCATAGCTGTTAGGCCAAAACAATTACTTCATATACAAACACTGAGGAGAGAGAGAGAGAGAGAGAGACCCATGTTCAGTTTCTCAGCTAATTTTTAGAGTCCTCAGAGCCTTCGAGACTGTGGTTCTCAAATTATACAGAAATCATTCATTATTCCTTACCCTCTATGTCTAAAGTGCTAGGATGGATAGAGACCTGTATCCTGAAAGACAAAAAATCCATTTTTCCAGAAGCTTTATCTCCATCACCTTGAAATGGATGTCTGTCAATAGCTACCTCTCTCCTGTGAGAGATAGGCAAATGTTGGAGTACCTGTAGATTTGAGCACATGTTTTATATTCATTATATGTATTTAAAGCAGAAGATAATACAAATTTAATTAATAGTTACTTTTATATTTCTCCCCAAAGAATGATAGAAACTGTTGTTTTATGGGAAATGGACTGAGATTTCCAGTCTTTGTAAAGATATACAATTTACGGAATCCTATCTAGGAGATTTTGAAATATGCTGTTCAACTAAGGTTATTTCTTCTTTTTTATATTGGTTGAAGATACAAACACCTCTATGAGACTGTTTATCTCAAAAAATGTAGGTTGAATCTTGTTATTAATAAAAGAAATATTATTATAAAATCCAATTTCCTACAGAAAGGATGTTGCATGTTTTATATACTAGTCCAAGTAGAGCAATAAGAATGGACCCTGACTTCACTTTCTCATCTAGTTATTAAATTCATTCTTATTGTAAGATATTAGAAACTGCAGTTCAGCAATGTCTGGAGAGCTCCAGACTCCCTATCTATTAGGAGAAAGATAATCTCATATTTCCTTGAGGTCCAATCAATTTATGGTGCACATTTTCATGCTCAATCAAATTTATACCATAATAAATGCTTTAGCCTACAATGGTTTGAGTTCTTCAGGCAACTCCTTTGAAAAATGTCCATGTAAGAGTGCAATCTCGGTAGAAATGTTTACAAATCTTTAGTTCTTTATCTACTGCTATCTAATAATAGAATAAATATTGAACGCTTTATGTCTGCTTCTGGTGACTTGCATCTGAAAAAAGAGCTGCTTTTCAAGGAATCCAATTAATGCTCAAAGGTCTAGATGTTGGGGAGGGGGTTGGCAAAGGGGCCCAGACTTTGTCCAGCCATTTTACATTAATATTGTAAGGCTATTGGCAGAATTTTAACACAACCTATATGAGTGTCCTACTGCCTTTAGCAGAAATGTATGAATATTAATTGTGAGTTGGGTCTCAGCTTCCCCATAGTGCTTCATGGCCTCTTTCATGATAAGCCATTATCTTACCTGGAGATAGGCATGGATGGTCTTAAGTGAATGCAAATGACATATTAGCCATTGTGTGTAGATCATCAAATCTTCCTGGGTCACCAGGTTTATAGGAATTTCTTTTCCAGTCAGAAAGCTCTCCCGTACACTTGAGAGTCTCGCAGCCCTTTGAATGGCATCATTATACTCCTGCATAATTTGAGCCACTTGTTTCTACAAAGAGAGGAGGAAAAAGATGGAAGCTGCTGTCTTGTCCCAGGGAGATGAATTAACGAACTACCTAGAACATCAAACACATTATCAAACAATACCTTCAGCTGCTTGAAGTGTATTCCAACAGCATCTGTGGTGTGTTTGCAAAATAAGTTGATTGGTCAGAAGTAGCACAATTTTTGTGTTATTTTTGCAGATGCATGAATGTACTATAAAATATGGCTGCCAGAAACTAAGTTTATCCACAATTTAATTTAATTTGATATATATTAAATTAATATTTAATTTAAGAATTATTACACTGAGGTTTATTTATTTATCACATACATATAGCCAGTTGCTTTCTTTCTTACTGTTTTTTCCCTAGTAGTGTGGTATCCAGACAAAGAAGGAAGATTATATTCTATCTCTTATTTACTCAGAGTATTTACAATTATTTATGGTAACTCTGTCTAAGGTGACAGTATAAGGTTGTCAGTATATCTAACTCCCAAGGATGATTTAATTTTTTTTCCTGAACTTTACAGAGATTTAGATTAGATAATCCTTGTGTCCCTTCCTATTCCATGGTTCTATGATTCTATCAAAATTGGTTTTTTCTTTAAAGAGATACCTCATCAAAATTCTCCTTCCTTGCTTATTTAATAAACAACGTAAGTTTGTCATAAGGTTGCAGGGTCATATTCTATCTTATCTTCTCTCTGCCCAACAGTTATCTCTCTCTCTTCTGGTTTAACTACCTCCACTTTCTTTTAGCTTCTGGTGGCCTTAGCTGCTGGCAATTCCTTATATGTATTTTACATTTATATGTATTTAATTATGAAGCACTCTTTCATGACAGTATCCTAGATTTCCCTTTTCTACAAGGCTTTTTTTTTTTTTACAAGATCCCTTCAGTTTAAAAAAATGAAAAAATGAAGCTTACAAAATGTTAGCAGGGGCCATTAAAAAAATAATAAATAAAAGCAAAGTGCCAGTCTAGTATTATTTTTATTTTCAGGAATGCCTTGAAGACCCCATAGATATCCTTCCAAACCCTTGGGAAGTTGTTTGTTTGTTTGCTTTCACATTTTTAAACCCCACATCTCCTTCAGAGTGCCAAAAAGCTTGCCTATTGCTATGAACCTCCCCCCTACTTATAAAATGTCTTGGCTAGAGAACTAGAGGCATAACATTTGTTGGGGATCAATTATTTCTAAAACTAAATTCATCTCTTTGGCACCATCTGAAGCTTCAACAATCCTTCCTATTGGCTGGCATAACTAACAAAATTGTTAATCCATTATTGATCCATTGCACTCCTGATTTTAGAGCAGATTTATACATGGAACAGATACACATATTACTATTTCTATAGTTATTATCTATCCTACAGATATACATTCTATATTTTATAGATTCTATACATTATATAGATAATTCTATAGAAATTATTTTGGTTGGTATACTTTAATACTCCCCTACAAGTCTCCACATATAGAAATAGACGTTAATAAGAAGTCAATGATTTTAGATGAGCAGCTTTTTAAGTCATTACGTAGGAAAATACCAGTTCCCCATACTAAATTGAACTTAAAGGAAAATTCGATAGCTTTGCCTCTGCACTTAACAAACATTAAATCATATTTAAGTTCCTTTGAAAATAAACATTTTACATTGTATTTAACAACTGTGCAAACTTTGCAATTTCATACCTGGTAGAAAGGGTACAGTTGTTCAATAACACTACTGTGCTGACAAAATCTTTTCCATCTTAGCATATGTAAGTATTTGCTTTGGACTAACTGTGGGATCCTGTCGATAAAAAACTTTGTAAAAAAAATAAGAGATTTTTTCAGATTAAAATTACAGTTTTGCTTCTGAAAAACTATACATCATGTTGGAAGTTAAAACCCACCCCTCTCCTAGGAAAATGAAATATTTTAGGATATACTAAAAAGGCAGAATATTTTCCTAAAAAAGAAAAGTAGAAACTCAGAGAAGCAGAAACTCAGTGTTATGAACTAACAAAAAACCATTTAATAAAACTTATTAACATTATGTTAAGCAGGCTTGAAATCCTGCACTTTGGATTGGCCCACGAATAGCGAACTGGGATTGGTCATCACGGAGCAACCTGATGGGCTATTAGTTAACATCTTTTCATTGGGCAAAAGTTAAGCATGTGGACACAGGCCATTGGTTAACAGGTCAGTAGCTAGCTCTATAAAAGGGCTACTGCTATCCAAGAGTTTGCTCTCTCTTGTTCTGATTCTTAATAAAGAGTTGAAGTTCACTAAGTCACTGACTCGTCTCAATTACTTGCACCCATGCCCAGAATATAATACTGGCGACGAAGGTGGGATGCAAGAGACGATAGAGCTGATTGAACACTAAAGAGTGCCATGCAGAGCACGTGGCTGAACACGCACCAACGAAGGCAACATGGCCAGCGGTGCTATACCACCCGCTCCATTCGACCCGGCAAACGAAGACTGGGACTCATATATGGATCGGTTCCAAATGTTTTTGGAGACCAATAACTTAAAGGACGCGACAACCGGCAAGAAATGAGCAATATTCCTGACCCATTGCGGGCCGGCCGTGTTTAAAATGGCAAAATCACTCGCAAAACTGGCTGAAGTAAAATCAATGGACTGGGACACCCTCGCTCCCCTCCTAAAGGCCCACTATGCACGCGCGGTGCCCACACTTGTTCGAAGACATGAATTTTACCAGAGGGACCAACGGAAAAGCGAAAGTCTCGCAGACTACATCGCTGATCTCCGGAATTTGGGAGGCCTCTGTGGGTTTTCCAACCTCGAAGAAGCTTTGCGAGACCGCATAGTTCTGGGATTAGATGACCAGACGGTGCAAAGCAAGATCATGGCCAAAGGGGACATCGATCTTGCTGATGCCATTGCAGACACTACTGCAGCAGAAGCAACCAGGAAGTCGGCTGCTCGAATGCGCCGCAACAACGCACCGCTCCGTCAACTCGCAAATGACACCTCGCCTCGCCCCGAGAGGCACTCAACAACGGCGCATCATGAAGACCTGGAATCCCCATCAGAAAGTGATGAGGAAGAGGTCAACCGACTCCGGTCCGAACGAGACCAACAAACCCAACGATTCCCGCGACAATGCGGGTTGTGGGGCAACCCGCCCACGATCCGAGTGTAAATTCCTCGATGCACTCTGCCGTTCCTGTGGAAAAAGAGGCCACATTGCAAAGGTCTGCAGAAGCAAGCGAGGGTCCAGTCCCAAGCGCAGGGAGAATAATTGCAGCCAGTCTTCAGGATTCAAAACCGCGAATCGGAACCACCCGAACCACCAATGGAACAACCACTCCTACAGAAATAAAGCACCTGCCTCTTCCTCGAGACGGGAAGAAGCACACCAAACCATTACCATCGGCCACGCTACATCCTTAGACGCAAGGAAGATCCGAGTGAAGGTTGCCATCGAGAACCAACCTTGCATGATGGAAGTCGACTCGGGGTTGTCCCTCTCAATGGTTTCCTGGAAAACTTTCAAGCAGCTAATCCCGGCCATCCGTCGACAGGACCTCAGCCCCCAGAGGATCATACTCAAGGATTACCAGGGCAACAGAATCCCGGTCGTCGGTTCCAGCCAAGTCCAAGTCTCATTCAAGAACCGTATCGCATCACTACCACTGACTGTCATCGATCGTGATCGGCCTAGCTTATTGGGCCTACAATGGTTCGCCCCGCTCGGGATCATGGTAGCCGGCGTCCATCGAGCTGAGAGCAACGACTGGGAGGAGTCGCTCGTTCAAGAATTCCAGGACGTTTTCTCAGACGGACTAGGCAAGTACAAGGGGACCCCAATATCGTTTAACCTCAACCCTGAAGTAGCTCCCATTCGCCTTAAGCCTCGTCGGGTGCCTTTTGCACTAAAACCAAAGATCGACGAGCAACTCAATAAATTAATAGCCCAGGGCGTTTTAGAACCAACCGACCACGCCCGTTGGGAAACCCCAATTGTAACCCCCATCAAACCAGATGGATCGTTAAGAATTTGTGGGGATTATCGGGCCACTTTGAACCACGCACTTCAGCAAAGTGCTTACCCGGTACCGGTGGTTCAACACCTTCTCCACTCCCTGGGTGGTGGGAAGATATTCGCTAAATTGGATTTGGCACAAGCGTACCAACAGTTGCCCATTGATGCGGAAACTGCGGAAGCACAAACTATCGTTACGCATAGAGGCGCTTTTAAATGCAATAGACTCCAATTCGGAGTGAGCGTAGCTCCGGGAATTTTTCAAAGTTTAATGGAGAGACTCTTACAAGGCATAAAAGGGGTCGTACCATATTTTGATGATGTATTAATCGCCGCCCCAAATAGAAACATCTTAGAAAAGCGTCTCAGAATGGTTCTAAAGAAGTTTAAAGACGCCGGCTTGAAGGTTAAAAAAAATAAATGTCAACTGTGTACCGAGAGGGTAGAGTTCCTGGGATACCTCCTCGATAGTCAGGGAATCCATCCCACTGATAACAAGCTAAAAGCGATTAAAAACGCCCCAACGCCCAAGAATAGAACAGACCTCCAAGCCTTTCTGGGGCTCATTAACTTCTACAACATTTTCTTGCCCCAGAAGGCGACTGTAGCAGAGCCCTTGCACAGACTTCTTGATAAAAGAGCTACCTGGGTCTGGGGACATCGAGAGGAACGCGCCTTCCAACAAGTGAAAGACTTGCTAACCTCCGACGCTGTTTTGATGCAGTACAACGAGACTTTACCTTTAACTATTACTTGTGACGCTTCACCGTTTGGAGTGGGAGCAATCTTAAGCCATGTACTCCCAAACGGAAACGAGGCACCTATTGCGTTTTTCTCACGAACATTATCAAAGGCCGAAAGGAACTATAGCCAACTCGATAAGGAGGCCCTTGCTGTTGTGTCTGCTGTGAAACGTTTTCACGAGTACGTGTATGGACGAGCATTTACGATAGTTACAGATCACAAACCATTGCTTGGTATTATAGCGGGAGACAAGCCAACCCCCTATATATTATCACCAAGAATGACTCGATGATCTGAGTTCCTAGCTGCCTACAATTACGTGTTGCAACATCGCCCGGGGAAAGCCATTCCCCACGCTGATGCATTGAGTCGTTCTCCACTTCCGGAAGCCGTCGACGACCCAGCTCCAACCCTCACGACACTACAAATTGAGATGCTGCACTCGCCACCACTAACAGCGAGAGACATCGCGATCGAGACAAAACGGGATCCTGTCCTAGCACGAGTCCTCAGCTGGGTCGAACGAGGATGGCCAGCCGACCAAATCCATGACGATTTCGCACCATTTAAGAATCAGCAGACAGAGCTTTTCTCCCAGAGAGGTTGCGTTCTCTGGGGGGATAGAGTAGTCGTCCCAGAGAGGCTACAACAGACTGTTTTGAAAGTATTACACGAGGGACATCCGGGCATCGTGCGCATGAAGGCGCTCGCACGAAGCTACGCATGGTGGCCGGGCATTGATAAACAGATTGCAGCCTGGGTAACCACGTGCCAGAAGTGCCAGGACGTTAGCAACGCCCCACCTAAAGCGACGGCAACCGAATGGGAAACCCCTCGAGGTCCATGGTCCCGTATCCACGTTGATTTTGCGGGACCCACCAAAGGACACACATTTTTATTAACAGTTGACGCCTATTCAAACTGGCTGGAAATCCAAAAGATGAAGACAACCACTACAGACTCAGTCATTAATAAACTGAATAAATTATTCGCAACGCATGGGTTACCAGACGTTTTAGTTTCTGATAACGGGCCCCAGTTCACGGCCCTAGCTTTCGAACAGTATCTAGTGGACCGTGGCATCCGCCACGCGCTCACCTCGCCAGCGCACCCTGCGGCTAACGGAAGTGCGGAGCGAATGGTACAGTTCGTCAAGAAAACCCTACATAAAATGGACTATGGGGACATCAACAACAAGCTCAACCGAATACTCCTGCTCCAACACATCACCCCACACAGCATCACGAATAAGACGCCTGCCGAACTGCTAATAGGGCGGAAACTTCGCTCTCACCTTGACCGCCTCCATCCCTTTTATTCACCAGAAAAACCCTGTGGATCCAGTGGGAAGTGCCGCGAATTCAAGGTAGGCGACTTGGTGTTTGCTAAAAACTTTTCTGGCGACCCACTATGGGTCCCTGCAACTATTACCCAACCCACCGGCCCCAAATCTTACCGCCTACAGACTAATGACGGAAAATTTTGGAAACGCCACATAGATCAACTCCGATCCAGAATGGCACCCACCTCCCTTGACTTCCATAATTCACAAACTAAAGGGGGAGGAGATATCGAGGAGGCCGAAAATGGGCTAGATGACGACATAATCACGGGGACCCAGCAACCTAACAAACGAAACGCGCAACCTGAAGAAGAATCAGGGAACGGGGTGTTATCTCCGCCCAGAAATAGCACGAGGGAGGCAAGTCCACGGGACCCGGAAGCAAGCCTAGGAGACTGGGATAACAACAACGAGAGCCGCGCCGAGTCCCCCCGCGCAGAAACAGAACTAGCCGCACCAGAAACCCTTAATAGCGTTCCACCGGAATCGGACTGCAGACAAAAACCGGTGGAACTGCGAAAATCAAACAGGCAGGTGAAACGACCTGCATATCTACACGAATATATTACCGCACCCCTCAAACGGAACCTAGGGGAGAGGGGTGTTATGAACTAACAAAAAACCATTTAATAAAACTTATTAACATTATGTTAAGCAGGCTTGAAATCCT